TAGAGGAAGTCTCTACTAACCCTGAGTCATCAAAACTCACATATTTTTAGCTTTTCTTTGTGATTTTTTTTTTTTTTAAATCATAGCCAACAACCAGTTTAAAACTTCCATGAAAAATATTTTTCTGTATATGGAATGTCTCATATAAGTTTGATTATGTATTTTGCAGTGATGGTTGATACACAAAAGTACTAATCAATCCTGGGAAAAGGCAAAAAAGACAGAAGCAGCCATGCACATACTCTATTCTGTGAAATCAAAGCACAGATAAAAGAAAGGAAAAGAGCACAATATGGAAAGTGATGGAAAGTGAGAACAGTTATAACACTATATGTTGTTAAACAACTTTTAACACGGATTTAGTTTTTTTTTTTTCTTGTTGAGGAAAAAGATCATGAAACATATTGCAGTTCTAGGCTTGATTCTCAGCAGCAAGGCGAAACCAAAGCAAGCTGGAACTTGATAATGTACCATATGGTTTTCAGAAGCAGAAGTGCCAGAACAAAAACCTAGGAAACTCATTTAGCAATCTAGTCTAGATTTGTATTTCCCAACACCATCTTCACCATTATATTTTGCTGTAATGCCACATATGTAAACAATCCGAAAGCCAAAAAAGGGGATTACTTAATTTGTTTTATAGCCATCTATTATTCTGCTGTCTGAAGGCATCCTCCTATGACAACAGGTTAATAATAATAACTTTAATATCAGAGGTTTAAATATTTAAAGAAGAAATTGGTTTTAGGAACACTAACTTGTAGATTTGATGTTAAATACCTACTTAAACCCACACACAATATACACACACACTACACATATATACACACAGAGTGGGATTTTTGGAAAACGCACCAAAACATCTAAATTTCTCAATAAAATTTGGAGGATGAGCATCCAAACTCCCAAGCTAGAAGTGTTACTTTACCCCTGTACCTTGCCAAGAAATAAAGTCAACTAAAGGTCAAACACTACATCCCATTCCCCAGAGAAAAGGAAATGTTTAACAAGTACTGGGTTACTTTGAGAGTGCTACCTTTATTTTCTGGTAATAAAGGATACATAGGTCATACAGGAATGTCTCACTTTGCAACTGCTAGCTTTAGTGGGAAGGTACTGTGAGGGTCCAGAACTCCTCAGCTGCTGTGTACTTATGTCAGCAATTTACTGATTTGTTTTGGAATAGCACTGGGTGCTGTAGCAACTTTCCAAAACAATTTAACATAAGTGTGTTAAAGTAGTTTGAACTCTTGCCTCTTCTTTTCCTCTCCTTCCACCAAATCAGGACTCACATAATCAAGCACATCCTTCCTGTCCAGCCTCAGCAATAATCACTAAAACATCACTGCACTAGTTACCCTTATGTGAAAAACCCTCAAGCACTTCTGTCCTCATACCATGTCTTCCCAGTTTCACTTGATTTCTATCAACTCCTATAGATCTGCTCCATTCTCCACCTACCTTAGTCACCATCAAGACATAAGAAGTACATTATCCCCTCATGCTGAACACAGTGATAGGAAGGTGTAAAATCAAGCAGTACTTCTGTGCTTAACAGAGGAGAGGAGGAGCCAGCAAACTTGGTCTTTGCTTTTTCTTATCACTGGTTTTATCCTATGAAACTAACAGTAGTCCCTTGTTCTGTGGGACAGAGAACCAGGCAATCTCCCACAACAGCACTGAGTGACATACAAACATCCACACAGTTTAAGTTCCCCATGTTTTCTGACTGAACACTCACACATTCCTCTAACTTTGTGGATTGTTTTTTTTTAAAACATGGTGGAAAGTTACAGCTTTAACCTGATCAGACATTTCCGCTGTTTGAAGCATATGACCTTTCATCTTAACATGTTCAAATATTTGTACTGCTATTTCACATTTACACTGCTAGCAGAACTTCAAGTACTTGAAATAGATTATCTTGAAGATATGAACTGTTCCAGAAAAGTATGGAATGGTCTGTATCCATCTGGTAACTCAGTTATGCAGCCTAAACAATCTAAGTCACCATCATTACAAGAGTTAATTCTGGTAACATGTAAGAAGGGGTAAATTGATTTTAAAAATCCTCAGATGTTTTACAGATGAATAAAAAGTTCCAAGTTTAGTATAGAGTTAGCTAGCCTAACATAGAAAACACCATCATAGAAGCAAAATAGTTAAATGAAGAATCTCCTACTGATTTTCAGAAGCAAAATACCTAAACAACTGTTGTATTCCATTTTATTTAAATGGTATGCTCTGTCTCACCCCTCCGAAATGTATGGTACATTCTAAACCTGTGGTCCTGCCCTGAACCCTCCTGTACCTGTAATCCCATTGGCCCAAGTCTGATTCCGCGCCCACTTCAATTCCCCTCTTAAGCTGTGCTAGGGGATCAGTCTGGCTCTTAGCCCTTCCTCTCTCTCAGCCTCTCCCCCCCTCTTGCCCCTTCCCTCCCCCTTCCCCCCTTTTCCTCAGTAACTATGCTGTTCCCGGGGATGGGACCCCAAATAAACCTTCATCTGCTCAGCACCCTCAGAAGCCGTGTGGAGTCTCCTTGCCTGCCTGCTGCTGCCAGCCAGCTCACAGCCTAGGGGGCCCTCCGGGGACATCCCCGGGGTGCCCCCACCTCAAAACGCACCGCAACAAACAACCAATTTTCTACTGGTTTTCAATATCTTTTCAGTCAGGACTGACTAAAACTAATCAGCTCGACTACAGACCAACTCATAGACTATGAATATAAAGAAAATATCAATTTCTTTACATGGACAAGACAGCTCTGAATTTTGATTGCAGGAACACAAATTTTGTCAGTTCTACAGGTTAAGTTATATTTTATGCAATCGAACACCAATGCTGTTACGAAAGGAACTGGAGAAGTACTTTTCATACATCAAGGAAGTAACCACTACAAAATGTATGTACTGTAGCTAAGTAAAAGGACTTACAGAAAAATTAGTAAAGGCAAAAAGTCCTCTTCCTTCTTATAGTTTCAAAGTTCAAAGGAAAACAAAGGAATATAATGAACTATTACTCAAGTTTAAAATATTTACAAAAAAATGAAAGAGACTTAACGCTACAGTGTTTTGAATACTTGAATATATCTACTTTCAAATGAAGTATCTACCCCTTCCATAAGTACCATATAAAACAAACATGATTTTAGGACATGACATGACATTGATGACATGATTTTAAGACTGTTATAAATAAATAAGCAACTGACTGATCTTTCTGCAGCCTTAGTCTTAACTGGGCAACCTTGACACACAAAACATTCCTGCCATTCTGGACTTCCCCTATTTCAGATACACAAAGTATTTTCTACCTACTGATGGCTTTTAAATCAGATGCAAAAAGGGTTTCCATGGAAGTTTCCTGCCACTGAACAAATGCACTTGCTGACTCTTTATCAATCTTGTATCAGATACGAAGGACAGAGAACGAAAGTCGCAACTTCCCTTCAACATTGTGAAGCATGGAACAGGAGACAACACTGTGGTGTATAACTGCCAATTGTCATGAAATGGGGAAAGAAAAGGAAATTACTTTCTTTACTGATGACCAATGCCCAGTGAAAATGCTCTTTTTAAAAATACATGTGATTACTACCAGTCCCACTTTAAACAGTAGTTGTAATGAGCTGCCTTTTGTTTTAAATGAAAAAGGACAACAGCAGCATATGTGTTGTTTTTTCCATTAGAAGATTAACACAAACTCCCACAGATTCATTTCTTTGAAGAAATACTTTGCTTGTTTTTCAGTTTTAATCTTCCTTGGCAGGAGAAAGAGACATTTTAAAGAAAACGTATATCCAAAAGAACATTTAAACTCACATGTGACTCAAAATCTTGCATGATTACGGTGTAAGCTTGACAGCCTGAGAGTCTTATCTTTATGGAGGGAAGAACAAGTAACTCAGTATCAACTATGTTTGAAAGGACATGGTGAACAGGGAAGTTCCCAAGGACTAGAAGAAAGCAAATTCAGCGCAATCTTCAAAAAAGGGCAAGGAAGAGGATCCAGGGAGCTAGAAACTGGTCAAGATCACCTTTAGCTCTGGAAAGATGAGCGGACAAAGCTTTCTAGAAGCCATTTCCAAATGCATTAAAGACAAAAAGGTGATTTGGGGTAGTCACTATGGATTCACAAAGGGTAAACCATGCCAGACAAACCTGGATGGCCTTCTAGAGTGAAATTATTAGCTTGGTGAATGAGGGAAGAGCATAGCTAATGTTTACCATGACTTCAGCAAGGCTTTTGACACTTTTGAATAACACAGGAACTGATGAAGCACAGACAGAGCACAGGCACCAAAGTAGATTGAAAACTGAACCAAATGCCAGTCTTGAAATGTTGTGATCAGCAGTGCAACGTCTAGCAGGCAGCCATCCACTGGTCACCTACTGCAGTGGCTGACAAGGGGGCAGACAAGGACTACAGTCTTCTTTAAAGATCTGGATGATGGGACAAAGCACATCACAAACAAGTGGCACAAATCTGAGTGAAGCAGCTGATGCTCTAGATGGTTGCACTGCCCTCGAGAAATACAAATTCAGCAGGTGTCCAGGCAGACACTAACATACAAAAGCAAGTCCTACCATTCAAGCTACCTAGTTGTAAGCAAGTATCAGTCTGGAGATCATAGTTATTGCAAATGTTGTGCCTCACCTACTATGTTCTACCATAGGGAAAGGTTTATTCGCCTTAATAAGATCATGCAGTAATATAAATACGTAACTTCCAAACTAAGACACAATCACGGCTTGACAACTTGGCAGCTGTTCGGTCCCATTCTTCCATGAAGAAGCTCTTCCACAACACAGGTTTCCTGCTTCATACTTCTTACAAATCTTATCTCTACACCAGTCCTGCCTTCATCCCAATCTCTAACACACTTGTATGCCTAAAGGTGCACAAATATATTCCAGATGAAGGATTACTATCTTTTACAATGTCAACATGTCAGTGATGTGTTGGAAGGAAAAAAAAATATACTGAAGTTTCCTTACCTGTTGTGCTCCATCCCCACTAACAATAGGGGAAGTCAGAAGAGGGATTTCACTACTTATAATTGAAGTGGTATCCAGTAATGGTGGATGTTCTGCCATCATTGATGGTATACTAATTCACAAGATCACCTGCAAAGGAAATTAATTCAGATGGTTAAACTATATCAGTATTTCTGAATAATTATCCTTAAAAATTGTCTCACTTTAGAAATAAAAACAACAACAAAAGAAGATTATGAAATTAGACACCTTAAGAAAGTATGTTTCCACAACAAGCAGCAATCACACAAGCCTGAAGACGAGTTTTTGTCAGCTGGCACAAGCCTTAGTTACACAGAGAGGGTGGTTTACACCCCCTCTAGCGGCGAACCTCAGAAGAAGATAGATCACTACCCTGGAGCTAACAAACCTCAATCTTTAAACTTTGTAACAAACCAAGGTTTCAGCAAACTGGCACTTCTGACAAAATGCCTACAGAGGAAAAAAAAAAAAAAAAAAAAAAAGAAAAAAAAAGAAAAAACAAAAGAAAAAACGCACTTGCTTTAGAACCTACATGTATAGTATTCTTGTTTATGTGACTGGTAAAAAAAAACAATATATACTAAGAGGGACACTTTTTTTTTCTTTTTTAATAATCAACCCATTTTTCCTATTATTATTATGGATAAATACTTTAGGGACAACTTGTTACTAGAAAATGTCCTAGTGAAGCACAAATAAATGAATAATGATAAGAAAAAAATATTCTGCAGAATCTGACATATCATCATTTTGAAATTTATTAGATCCAGAAATAATGTCACTTTGATAACCAGCGGCTCTTTAATTAGCAGCTAAAACTTGGGGAGGAAAGGAAGAGATAATGCCCACACATACAATCGTAATCCTCATAACCATACTACAAAAAAGCCCTTGCTAGCACACACTGTAATGTAACAAGAAACCTGATAACAAGAAAAAAAGCCACACAGGCAAGAGGCCCATGAAAGCAGTGATACACTTTAACTGACGAATATCACATAATGAGGTTACAGAAAGCAGGATTCAGCTGAGCATTCCTTTCAATTATATTAACAACTCGCAAGGAACATGTTTTCTGATATTTTGCATCTTAGTGCTATGAAGACTGGATGGAAGAATTAAGACTGAAAAAGCTGAAGATTAGCATTTTTCCACGTTGGAAATAAGTACTGCAAGTCTAAGAAGCTGCTTTTGAAATTGCATTTAATTTTGTTTAAAAAAATACCACTAAATTACATTGGTTTACTGTATTGGTCTTAACTCAATCCCAGCTAGACCTAGTACACTTAGCTTTTAAAATAAAAAAAAAGAATTAGATCAACAAGAATTGAGAAACTGATATTACTTAACAAAACAGGAAGACAGATGGAAAGAATTCACTACGGGTGAATGGCACATTCAGAATTTCCACAAATTAATCACATTCTGCATCTGGAAACAGTGCTTTACATCAAACATAGACATAAGGATTAGGCTGAGAAGAAGCTTGTACAGTATTCCTAAAGCAGAATTGCCTCTCTTAGCCAGGACTTTCAGTAGCCTGGTAAAAAAAAAGTAAATACAATTTTAGAGTTATGCAGCCTGACAACCAGCAGTGTTACAGGCTTTTACAAGTTCTGCCTTGATATCATCTGGCTACTGAAACTCCCTACAAAGACTTCCAAACTTCTAGTTCAGATATATTGTCTGCTCATAAAAGAGATATTTACTAGTTCCAGCATTAACTTCAAATGAAAAAATACCCAATAAAATGGAAGGAGTGATAAAGTCAGCTTAATGACACTAACTTCAGTACCAAGCTCTAGAGATACTTGGTTAACTGGTACAGCTTACCACTCAAAGGCATCATCTAAAACTTCATCCCACCCAATGGACTGCTTTCACTTGCTTGCACCTCTAGGGTGGATGTTGTAGCCCTGCTGTGGGTTGAAGTACAGTACTCTCAGTCCAAGAGGACTCACACATTAACAAAGCACTATAGGCCTCTTGTAAAGAATTTTTTCCTACTATCCAGCCTAAACTTTTCCTGATGCAACCTTGTCCTATCACCTGTTACCTGGGAGAAGAGACTGACCCCAACCTGGCTCCACCCTCCTTTCAGGCAGTTGTAGAGAGTGGTAATGTCTCCCCTGAGCCTCCTTTTCTCCAGACTAAACACTGCCAGTTCTCTCAGCTGCCCCTCACCAGACTTGTGCTCCAGACCCTTCCCCAGCTCCTTGCCCTTCTCTGAACACACTCCAGCACCTCAGAGTCCTTGTAGTGAGGGACCAAGAACTGGACACAGGAATCAAGGTGTGCCCTCACCTGTGCCGAGTACAGGGGGACAATCTCTGCCCTGGTCCTGCTGGCCACATTGCTGATCCAGGCCAGGATGCCATTGGCCCTTTTGGCCACCCGGGCACAGCTGGCTCAGGTTCAGTTGCTGTTGACCAGCACCCCGAGGGTCTCTTCCACCAGGCAGCTTTCCATTCTCTTGCACAACTCTTTGATGATTTGACTTGTATGAAAATTAGGTTCCCACAAGCACCCAAGTGCTTAGGTCAGTACTCCACCTTCAGTATCCAGTCTTTAGTGCCTTAACTGGGACACAGCTAAATTCCATGTCTGAATTCAAGCATTTGATTTATTCTGGAGACAGAACACACTGCTCATTGATAAACCCTGACAGGAGATACTATGTAGAATGTTATTCCTGACACCCTCTACAACAATAATAAAAGTGCTTCCTGTCAGATTGTGTAATCAATCTAGGAAAAAAATGTTTCCTTGACAATACAATATTAGATTTCTCTGCAATGTCACTGAACTAGTCTCAAAGACCAAAGGTTTAAACTTCACACCAATGTGGGTCTATACCACACGTTCATCAAAAGCCTTTCTTTCCCCCATCAGTAGTCGGGAGGCAGCAGTCTGTACAAGTCAGTGCACATAACACGGTCACACAGTAAGATGTGGTATGTTCACCCACTGCAGGTGCCTTTTTGTTTTGCTGTGAGGACAAAGAAAGATACCAATTTGAAGACAGAGTGTGTGGCAGGAGGAGAAGTCAGCTAAAATGGACAAAAGGTTGGCATCAAGACAAACGGAAGAGCTCAATAAACATATCTTGGAAATAATTTATATCACATTCAATGCAAGGACCTCAAGTGTGTGCAGACAGAGCCTTTAGATCAGCAGACCCAGTAGCTTGTATTCAAGACCTCTTGAAGACATTTACCTAGACCTTTGAAAAAGACTTGCAAGTAACTTGGGTCCTAGGAAAGTCTCAGAGGTCTGGAAGAGAAGTAGAAGTTTGCATTAAATACTGTGTTGTAAAAGGGACAATCTAGTCCTGTTAGCAAACAATAATCTGAGGTCAACACTGAATGCTATTTGTAAAGAACTAAAATACAATTAAGATTGACTGAAAAAACCTTGTCCAATTAACTTCACACAAACCTTCTGGTGATGGATATTACTGAAAAAGGTACTAATAAGTGGACTGGAAAAGCAACCTTAAAATCTTATTTGGCATTAGAGAGCATTTATCTTCAACAGAAAAACAGAAAAGATGGATTAAAATTGAATGGACAGTCCTTAAACATTAACAGTAAATACAGAGTTGTTGAGCCATGTGAGTTTCCAATAGAAAGAGAAGGTATCAGTTCTCAGCTTCTCATTACAGAACATGTTTTTAACTTGCCACTCAGAAAAAATAAAAAAAAGGAAGTGGAAAGGAAGTCTGGAAATGACAAGCAACGACAGTGATAAGAGACTGAGTCATTTCAGTCAACTAAAATGGCACGAATAGCTTAAAAAGGTAGGCACAGCAAAAAGTATTGATGCACAAAGGTAAAGCTGCCCTTTCTAAAACTAAAAAGAATGAATTCAATCCTGTGAAGGGTTGATTCTGACAAGGATGGAATAATAAAAGTGGACAGTCAAACACAAGCTTGCCAGAAGGCTTTATCAGTTATATCAACAGGTCCACCTCCCTTAGCAGCATGGAGAGGAGGATGTTTTTCCTGCCTCTGGCTGCAAATACCTACCATCTCTACTGGAACAACTTTACAAGCTTTGCCTCCAATTTTCTGACTTGAAATTGCTGCTAACTGTTCTAAGTGTGAGCAACAATTTCTTGAACATATTGTTCCATATTGAAAATACTGAAAGCAAAGTATGTACACAGCATAATTTCAGACTTAATCCTCATAAAGTTGCCCCAGATGATGTAACTGTCCTCCAACTCCATCTAGTTTCTGAATATACTCAGGACTTAATGAGGTATTGAAAAGGGCACAAGAAAAACAACTTGCATTTGGACAACAGGTAAGGTTTAGCCTGCAGAACCACTACAAAAAATTCACTAGCCCATTATCAGATTTCCTGCACTATTGAAAACTTTGATGCAGCAGCCTTCAGAAGGGGTAAAATACCATGTGGGATGAACCAAAGGATTTATTTAAGGCCTACCCACTGCACCATTCTCATGGACATTAAAAGGGACCAGACAAGGAAGAGGACACAATAGATGAATAGAGAGATAATTCTCAGTTGCTAAGCACAGAAGCAGCCAAGAAGTAATTTGCTACTGGTGGAGCATTAAATACATGTTTATTTACAAATCTACACTATTTCATGCACAGCAACAACTGCTGCATGGAAAACTATTTCACTTCTTGTTTTGCTACTGAATATACTGAACTAGTAGACATTCAAAGTCAATTCAGGACTGCAAACTCAGTCTACACTGAATCTGCCCCAAGTCTGTTCTACAATGCAAGAAAAGTACAGGGGCTCTTGAGATGACAACCAAATTGTGTAGGTTAATGCTTTGTACAAGACTTACATTGTAAGTGGACTATTTGCCCACTACCCCCACCTGAACTGATATTTGAAAACACCTTGAAAGAGTTTTCTGAAGCCTATAAAAACTGAAACAAAGTGAGGGTACCTAAATTTACTGGATGTGATTTGTTTAGACTCCAGGACTTATGCCTGAGGAACCCTTAAGGAAAGAATTACACTAACAAGGCAAAAGGCTAAATGATGTTAAAGCTCACAAACTGTGTTCCACTCCATAGTTCAGTAAGCAAGCTTGCCTTCCTGAACTGTAATGAC